TTACAATTTGCTGAATGCCGATTTCGCAATTTGCCGAACAGTAACGAAGAAATTTGCCGACTGGGGCCGACTTGTGAAAATTATTGGGGGGGTGGAGCACCCCCCCACACCCCCCCGCTCGCGACGGCCCTGATTGCGCTGCACTGGAATCGCAGGGGCACGGGTTCAATTTCTGCCAGGGACTTAAACTAAAGTTGCAGCTATCGCTTCTGTTTCTCGTTAGGTCTGTGTGTGCATACATTTCCCCCCGTCAATGGACCATTCCCCAAAATTTTGAACTCAACAAGTCTAGACAAAAATTTCATCACAGAAATTTTGTTACGCTTACATTTGTATTGGACTTTGGCCACTGTCAGTTCTATATTTTTTATAAAGTTTTGATTTCTTAGTGTGATAAATCTGTGTATATAGTCTATATAATGTGGCAAATGCGCCTAGCAGTAAACAGACTTGATATGAAATCTGATCTTAATTTACCTGTATGTCAATGAGACGCACATGTTTTTAAACATATATATTAAGCATTAGATATTAAAATATCTGTCACCTCTGATTGCCCTTTAACCCCTGGTCTTTGCTACTTCAATATATATATATATATATATATATATATATATATATATATATATATATATATATATATATATATATATATATATATATATATATATATATTGCTTTTTCCTATGCTTTTTCTCAGTTCCATGGTAAGAATCGAATGCTTACTGGAATAACTGGATTAATTAAAGCCTTCAGCTCGCTAGTCGCTGCGAGTAATAACTGTGCTTTATATAATTTGTGCTATTTACTGTAATACTGTAGCTATTTGCTTTTAATGCCCGCAGCAATCCCTACCTTGCAGGTACCCTAGTTGCATGTAGGATAATAGACCTGCACTGGACCTTGATCAAGTATATATAGATGTATGACAAATAAAATACAATACAATGAAAACTCCCAAGAAATTCATATTTTTAATACAACGTTTCGACTACTGTTGAATCAACATCAAGAATTATGAAAGCTACAAAAAAATTACAAGTTATATATATATAGGTGTGATATAAGATGAAATATGATACAACTGATATATTCCTGATGATGACTCAACAGTAGTCGAAACGTTGAATTAAAAATATGAATTTCTTGGGAGTTTCCATTGTATTGTATTTCATTAGATTATTCAGTGGTTACCGTAAATGTATGACAAATTGCTTATATGTTTCAGAACCGTCGTTCTCCGTGTTGTTTCCACGTCATAGTATCGAGGACTATGTGGAAGTAGATGACCCTGATTTGCCAGAGTTGAGCGCTTTCTCGATCTGTGCCTGGGCGAAGTTTGTCAAGAATGGAGACGGCACTATATTGTCTTATGCTGTCCCTACCGAGGACAATGAGATTGCTATCTGGTGTTATACAACTAAAGTTAGGTTTTCTCTCAAAGATGGTTGGACAACGTAAGATTGTGTGCGAACTAGCATAATAGTTAATACGAAATTAATCTCAAACAGTCTGCTCAGGACGTTCACCTCCCCTATAGGCCGGTTTACACTTGCAATTTGTTGCTGCGATATTCTTCTTCTGATGGATGCGAACGAGTGGATGAGTTATAAAAGTTAAGATGAGGGACACATACTCAGAACATTCATTACTCATCTACTCGTTCACATGCACCAGAATAGGAAAATCGTAAGATTTCAACTTTCTCAAGACCAGTTCTGAAGATCATTGGGGATGGGGGCAGAGCACCCTTTGTCCCCTGCTTACATCACTGACCAACTAATTTATTGATACCTAACCAAGAATGTATGTTGCAACTGCAAGGGATGCAATTATGTAGGCTCTTTGGCATGCAGGAGTCGAACCTGATGCTCTGTGATTCCGGTGCAGCGCTCTAACCTATTGAGCTACAGAGTCCAGTAGCTTATTGGTCCTCTATAGAAGACAGTTTGGAACTGATAAAGTTATCCACTCACAAATGAAGTTATTTGAGTTCAGGTAACATAAGACCAACATCAAGAGATGTCCCCTACTGGACCCCTGGAAAATGTGTAAAACTAGTGTAAAACTAACACATGTATTTGAATAAACATGTTTTGTGTTAAAACTACTTTTGTTTTATTTTATTTCAGTACGTATAACAGTTTACTCAGTGATGGTTTCTGGCATTCAATCTGTCTTACGTGGTCAAATGTGGACGGCAACCTCACAGTCTATAAAGACAACGTAATGACAGACCAAGCATCTGGTGTGGCTACTGGAAAAAACATCTTTGGAGGGGGGCGGTGGGTGCTGGGTCAAGACCAAGATAGTGTCGGAGGTGGGTTTGCAATCAAAGATGCTTTCCAGGGGGAGCTGGCTGAAGTGAATGTGTGGGGGCGTGTTCTTACAAAACAAGAGATTGCCTGGTTTTCGACAGACTGTCAACGCCGAATGAATGGCGATGTAAAGAGCTGGCCGGAGTTCAGAACTGGACTGCGACGTGAAGTTCGAGCGGTCGATGAGCCAAGTTGTACAAAATGTAAGTTTGAAGTGAGCTAAATGTATAATTGTTGCAAAGAAATAAAAGACATATTTCGAACTTGTGTCAGGGGAGGGGCAATGGACGTTTCGTTCCAGGCTGCCTGCCCACAAAGCTATGTTCGCACTGCTTGTCCCAAGTTGTCAGCAAGTCTAGAACCATTTGTTAATAGTTGTAACAACCTTGTTGATATTATCAGCCTTGTTGCAAGGTTGTTATCCAACAAGTCCGATACAGTCATGATATAACAATATTGTTACAACCAACTTGTGTCGTCAACCTTGTAACATTCTTGTTATATCATGTTTGTATCAGACTTGTTAGAACAACCTTATAACAGGTCTGATAATGCCATCAAGCTTGTTACAAGTTGTTAACAGCTAGCTTGTTCAAAACTTGTTACACTGAACAACTGGGAACAAGCAGTGCGAACACACAACTTGTTGACAGCTTGTGAACAGATTTATGAGAACTTGTTTGCAGACCTGTAACAATGGACCTTTTGACTAAAATTTAAATCTCAACAAGTCTAGACAAAAATTTCATCACAGCTTGAAAGAGCATCGCAAAATTAGTAATATTCCGACGTTTCGTTGCGAAATATGGTAAAATGCGGATAATATAGCCTTGCGAAGTTTGCAATTTTCAGTCATATTGTATTATGCGCGGGAAATACATACCCTTTTTCCGAAGGAGGTATGTATTTCCCGCGCGTAATACAATATATGACTCAGTGAAAATTGCAAATTTCGCAAGGCTATATTATCCGCATTTTACAACATTTCGCAACGAAACTTTGGACTATTACTAATTTTGTGATGCTCTTTCAAGCTGTGATGAAATTTTTGTCTAGACTTGTTGAGATCTAAATTTTGGTCAAAAGGTAAAAGGTCAATTATACTTGTGCATTTTTACGTCTGTAGACTCTAGTGATTAAACAACATTCGCACCCTTACTGTCGTTCCAATTGAAGTATTGCTCAAATATTGATTCAATACATTACCTCGGGCTGACCAATTCATTTCATCAAGTTCCTCGAGATATTCATATACTTCCTGTGAAAGAGCCAATTCCGAGTATTTGATCATTTCTGGGCACTTCCTTTCTATTTATGATTGGTTAGTTGCACAAACAACAAAGGTGATTGGTGCATTCAAACTATTCAACAGGAAGTTTACAATTATACTAGGAAGTGTATGAATATCTCGAGGAACTTGATGGACAACCTCGTACCCAGGGCCTTTGCGCGGCTCAGAGGCTCTGGTACGGGAAGCAAAGGCCCTGGTAAACACTGGTCACGTGTGTCCAAAAATATTGGACATTTTTGTAACCTGGCCTTATTTAGGTTATGTTATCCCGGGGGGGATGAACAACTGAACATTGCAATGCACGAACTATAAAAGTTTCAAATACAAATGATTTTGCCTTTGATTTTGAATGTATAACAATTGTTTGAAAATTCATATTTTAAAACAACAGACAGCAGATTTTAGGCTTGTTTTTATTTTGATGGAAATTATAAACTTTGAAGTCACATGGATTTTGAATTACAGTATGCTATAAAGAAATGCAGTATATTC